GCTCTGGGCACATCTCTTTGATTCCATTGTTCTTCCTGCATTAACATATGCCTCAGAGACCTGGGCCCTATGTAAACAGGATGAGAAAGCTATTAGGTCTCACAAAGAGGAATTGAAAGAGCTATGCTTGGAATATCACGTTTCACTCAAATGAGAGAAAGAATCCGGAGTTCCGAAGTCTGTCGACGATCAAGAATCAGGGATGCTGTCTCATTTGCCAAGGTGTCGAAAATCAGATGGGCTGGTCACGTAATGAGATTTAAAGAAGACTCCTGGACTAGAGCTGTTACTGACTGGATCCCACGGGATGCCAAAAGACCACATGGCCGCCCACCTACAGATGGTCAGACTTCTTCATCAAGATCATGAACGATCGGTTTGAGGCTCTTCATGTTCCCAGAGCGAACAGATGCCATTGGGCTACACTGGCACGCGACAGGGACGAATGGAGACGTTACTGGCACCCGTTTGAGCAAATCGACGACTAACGGGAAGTTAAGTGATTAAGTGATTAAAGATAACTTCAGAAATATGCTAAAGGTTTGCAGAAAACCTTAGTTGCCTTTATATGAAACCCATGAATATTTCTAAACAATAGGAAAAAAAGTTTAATATCCTTTGTTCATCGAAAGTCATCTTAGCCAAAGGTGACAAAATTCTTCCAGTTATTTATTCTCTTCTCATATCAAACATTATATCTTGCTATTTTGCTCCTAGAGAGTAAGTTCTCCATTCAGGGGTTTGAAATACCTCAAGGGAATTTCAAGGGAAATTTTAGGGCTAGATTCAAGGAAATCCCTTACTTTAGGAACCATAAGCGCACATGAGCACATGTGCGCTCACGCACACACACACACACACACACACACACACACACACACTCACACCAAAACATACTCACACCACATACAGTCTTTTAAACTATCTCAAAGTGATCTAGTAAATACCACTGGGCTAATGGCATCTGTTTACAAGGCAAAATAATGATTCACCCTGGGGAGAAAGAATATATGAGATTTTTCAATTTAGTCATGCTCATTCAAAAAATACAATGAATTTCTCTGTGATATTGAAAACAGCATTTTATTAATTTTATATATGAATATTCATATTATAAACACATTTCATTACTTATAATTATTGTTGGCATATTAAAATATTTTTTTCTAATTGTGTGCAGGAATCCAAGACGTTGGATTAAATTCTCTAGATGAGTGAATATCAAGTTCTGTCATATACATTTGCAAGTCATCTTTAATTTCCATGTGGGAGGAGGAGAAAGAACAGTAAATACTCAAACGCAAACATATTTTTATTCACTTTGATTTTGCAAGGCATTATTTATGTGGGGAAAAGGACAGCTCCTTGGGATTGAACAGAATCTGGATAGTGCATTGAGGGCATTACTGTTGTAAAGGCACAAAATTCTGTGACCACTATAACTTGCCAAAGGTTATATGGTTCTGTTTGTATCATTGCAGATGTCTATAATACGGTAAGCTGTCCAATTTCTTTAATAGCATTTGTTCATTTGCTTTTGCTTTGTTTTAGTTCTTAGATCTTTCTTTTGTTTCTACAGATGTTTTGGAAACATTTCAGACAAATTAAACAACTTAGCAGATATGTTAGGACCAGGGTTTTATACAAAGTCATTTTATTTATTAAGCAATTCTCTATAAACTTTATAGTGCAATATAAATGTTCAATTTCCTACTTTGATGTTAAGTAGATAAAAATATTGAAAGGCAGCACAACCTTATCCTAATGTCCCATCAGAATATCTGTGATAACTATAGATTTTCCATTATTTTTTTCTGATTATTTAAGTCTCTATGTTTAAATCTTTTAATAGTTTTCCAAAACTAATTTTACTGTGATGGAATCTGTACAGATGGCTTTTAAAAGCCTTAGTGTTAGAATCTGAATTTTTTTCTTTTGGTTTTAAAAATTGAATGTGTGCATTGATGAGCCTTCGTTTCTCAATCTTATAATTATTGCTGGCATATTAAAATACTTTTAATATTTTACTCCCTCCCTCCCTCCTTTTCCAGACAATTGAGCATGGGAAGAAGTTAGTATTACTGAGAAGGTAAGGGATTACTTTCCTATGAACCAGCACGTGGCTCCTGTGAGCTGAGCTAGGGAAAAGTGTAGGTGTGAAGGTTAAGAAAAAGCTGTCTCAAAGAAATGCAGAGGATGATTAAATGTAAAAAGTCTAAGGTTGTTTAAAGTCAGACCGTTAAATGACTGCGCATTATCATGATCATAAAAGAAGCCTTTGAAAGAGAGTCATGCCTTACCTAAAATCTAAAATGGACCCTTTAAGAGAAAAAGTAAATTCAGCACAATGAAAACTACAAAAGATTAATTCCATCAGCTCCTGACTTCCACAGAAAAAATGATTCCTCCACTCTTATTAGCAAAAGAGACTGACCAGAATCACAGCAAAAATGTGCAGGGTAACCCTCTGACCTGGGTTTGAAATTATACACTGGTGTTCCGTACTTGTTCAGAATAAGGGGTTATCATCTCTGTCACATTAAATGTTTTAGAAGAGGTAGTAGGTCCTTTATAGGAACTGCAACTCCTCTGCCTGCCCCTATTCTAGTAAAGATTTCCTCCACACACTTGGTCTGACCTCACCCATCTTTTGACCCATCAGATATGCCTTCATCTAACTTCTCAAGTACAACTATTTAAAGAATGCCCAATTAGGCAAGAAGAACTATTACTCAGGAAATGATCACAATCTATTAAATATCTTCACACATATACATCATAGATACTTCTTTTTATTTAATAATAATGGCTAATCTGGATTCATTTCATTACTTCAAACTACTGCAGTAATCCACTAACAAATTCTCTTTGGAAGTATGGACTATTGCTTTTACAAGAACTTGACTATCAACTTTGAAACATTATACAACCTTAGACTTCATTTGAACTTTGCAGGTAAAGAACAATTTGGACATATTCCCAGTTGTATAAACTTGGGGGTGCATGTCTACCTCCTAGCCATATGTGGAATGAACACTCCCCTTCATTTATCTTGTATTTTCTAGGCTATCCAAAGAACACCTTCTTCTTTCATACCACTGCTTTTAAACTTTCCATAAGATGAACCTGAAGTGCATTTGCCTTTATGTGACTGACATTCTCTTGGAGAAATATGGAAGGAGGTTTAGTCAGATTAATCAATTCTTCCTTCCTCTGAGGGCTATGATGGCCCAACCATGGAGCCATGAATAATGTGAAATTCACATATCAGGTACCCATATTGTACTTTCATTCTTGTGAAGTGGTCAGGATGAATTAGAAATCACTTCCCTTGGAGATACAGGAACAATGTTCACTTCATGATCTGTGCAAGAAAACATGAAACTTGATCTGTGTTGTTTCTGATACTGCCTTTTGGAAACAGCAATTCTGTTTGTATGGTTATCACAAAAATCAGTGCCTCACTTGCCAGTTGTTTTAAAACTACTGAAGACAGAGGAGAAGCCAATGGACATTTTTGTTTGTTTGCTTCTTTTCTTTCACAAGATTTATTTTAAACCAAGCACTTCAGAGAAATTAAAATATTAACCATTACTATCATCGTCATTATTATACTCTTTAACCTGTAGTTAGCTCCCTTCATGTTTTGTATTCAAATATTTATCTTCTCACTCTCAACTCACTCCAGGCAATTCACTGCCCATTATACACACTTAATTTTCAAGACTCCATTTCTTGGAGTAAGTCAGTTTACTTGCTTGGACTATGTGTTTTCCCACTCTACACTTCATGAATTCCTCGAAGACTCCCTAAGATTACAGGAACCTCCAAGCAATGAGTATTTCACTTTGTGCTCTCACAGAATTTTGAGATTATTTATCTTATGTCCACCTTTTTAAAATAAAAATATAGTTTTACCTGTCATCACATAATAATAGCTTGCATATATAAATTAAAATGGTTCAGTTCAAATTGTGTTTTCTGCACAAAATATTGATAAAAATAGAAAATAAGGTAAAAATGGGAAAACATTTTCAGAGAACATCAAAGGAACTCTGCTTGCTTAAGAAATAAGTATAAAAAGAAATTAACTTAGTTTATTACACCAAATAACCTCCATGAAACTAAAAGCTATAGAAGGAAACAACAGAAAAATGAAAGGAACCATTCCTAGGGTTCTCAGTAGAACAGGATAATAAGGAAGCATTTGGGAACTCAAGTTATGAATTAGGAAAGTTCAGTGAACAAGAAGATTCATTATTTTTAGCCACTGACTCTATCTTAGGTCGTCTTTATTTATTCTTTTCTCCTAGTCCAATTCCACTCTTAGCCTCAGAGTTCCTTCCCACTTACTTTGGTCTTTTTATCATTTTAATCATTTAAGTCCTTTCAGAACTTACCTTCTAAGTTGTCTGACACTGGCTAGTGATTTAGATCTGAAAATATCTCGACAATCTTTACCTTCCAAACTGAATAAATAGAGAAAGCAAAAGAATGTCTTACATTTATTGACATGATTTTTTTTTTGCTGTTTGTTTTGGACTATATCCTGCTCAGTACTTGGGGATTGCTCCTGGTTCAGTACTCTATGGACCACATGATGTTAGGAATCTAACCAGGGCCTGTTTTGGACAAATATGTGCTCCACATTGTTGAACTACCTCTCCAGCCCCTTGAATACATTTCATTGTGAAAACATTGTATATGTGATGCTCAGGGCTTAATCCTGGCTCTGAACTAAGAAATCACTCCTGGCAATGCTTGGGGGACCATATGGAGTATCCGGAATTCAAACCCATTTGGCTGTGTGGTAAGCAAGTACCCTATCTGTTACACTATTGTTCCAGCCCTATACCATAATTTTAAAGTTATAGGATGGTCTGGGGAGTCTTCATAGACAATTTATCCAGGCAGATAAATTTGGGTTAGCTTTCTTTAAAATATCAAAAAATTATACAAATTATTTCAATATAGCATCAACTGGGATTGTTTACATTTATTTCCGTCTCTCTCTGTGTAAACATGCATTTTCAACTCTAGTTAACTTACAAATTTTTGTAGACTACATTTTTACTGAACTGGTGTCTGCTTAAATTTCTGATGAAGAAATTTTACCATGTGCTTAAAATTTACATTGCTTTTAAAATTAATATTATTTTCTAAATAATAGTGGTTCAGTCCCAGAAAGAAAAATCTATTTAATGCTTATTTGTTTTTAAATACTTTTTAACTTTATATAATTGTGAAACTCTTAACTATATCTTCCCAGTAACTAGTGCTCTCCAAAACCTTAAGTGACATTTAACAAAACATTTGGTCCTTCAAGACATTGTGATATCATGTGATAACAATTATTAATCATTGCAATATCTAGGGTAATGGTTTCCTACTCCTGATTTCACTATGGAGCTGAGTGTAGATAATTAACAAATTTATAATCTGATTTACTTCTAAGATTTTCAAATAAAAATCTGGTGTACGCATGGCTCTATTAAAGCAGATCTTAAAACTATATGCTAAAAATTATAATGCCCTTGTTTTGACATTTAGCTCTTTTAAAAAACAAATTCAACCCAATCCAAACTGTAAATTATTTAGTTTGCAAGATACTTTGATCTAACATTCTTAAAATTAAACCTTATAATTTTAGAAAAATGTTTAAAAGTATCAATGAGGAAATCACAGCATGGTATTCTTCAATAGTAATATTCTTTTTAAAAAGTCTTTAAATTTAGATATTTCAACTAAAATATTCACAGAAGTGTACTTGAGAAGACAAAAAAACTTGATGATCCTTACGACATATTCACACACCAAAGTTTTCAACACAAATACATTTAAAACCCAAAAGCTATGTATAAAAAGAAAATGTTTCATTTACCACAGTGTACTTAAGTTTTTTTATTGGATTGTTTTTTACTATGGCTCAGCATAGCAATGGAAGATGTCTGCTGAAATAAATTTAATTATGCTGTGTGTGTACATGCGTGTGTGTGTATGTGTGTATGTGTGTGTGTAGTATAAATATTTTGCCTTGATCCTTTACAGTGGGTTCACTTGATACTTAATTATTTCTAGGTTGTTTCAACTTAAGTTAAATTAAAATGGTATTACTGCATTTTATATAAGCAATAAGTCTCTATTTCTACACTAAATGAATTAGTAGGAAGTACATTTGCTTATAAGAATTAAGTAGCCTTTATCATGCATAGAATAACTGTACCCAATAAAAGGAAATATTTATAGTTATGGCACATTATGTCTTGGATAATTTTTATAAAATAATAATTGATTTACAGAACTATTTAATATTCATATTTCATCTAACCCATAATCACTTGTTTTCTTAAAGAAAAGGAAAATGGTAACAGAAAAGGTTATAATGCATTTAGTTATATTCTCCTAATAATGCATGAGAAAAATGTAATAAAAAGCAAAGTTGAAATGATGAAAGTTCACAAGAATTTATAGTATCAATGGCTATAAACTCTTATCAAAAAGCTCTGTTTAAGGCAACACTATCACAAATACACTTTAGGTACCGGAGCATTCCCACCAGGGCACAAGACTTCAGGTGACGTCATCAGATTGCACAGATTACAATTACTGATATATACACAATGCGCTGATGTTTGACATATAATAAGTGATTATTATATAATAGAAATTTCCGCTAAAAGTCACTTTTTGAGGCATTTTTTCCCCTCACTGTGGAATTGGAAGTATGGATGTGAATGTAGTTTTGTCATATTAAGTAGAAGAAAAAGTAGATCATGACTTAACTCCTGATATTTTAATACTGCTCTTTGGCCATCCGCAATCCTAAAGTGCTTTCAGTGGTTCTACATCAGCTCAGAGGGAACAACCCCCAAAGACTAATCACTAGCTAGAGATTTAGCTAATCGATTCCTGATGCTTTGCCCAGGAAATTGGCATTGCCATCTGAAACCTCTTTCTTTTGGAACATTAATTTTGAATCTGTTCTTTGCTGATAGGATTCCAGAAAATGACAGATTCCAGGAATTTCACTGGGGAAGTTCGGTGGGAGATCTTCTCTTGATCGGGGAGTAAACACAAAACCAGGACAGTCTTGGAGTAATCTGGAAAATTAAAATTAGTATTTGGTTTTAATATTTGTATCAATGACTATTCAAGCAAACATAATGCAACTTAATGGGTACTCCTGAAATATTATTAAGTAGAGCATTTTAAGTCTGACAGAAAGAAATTAATAATATTAATATATTCACATAAGCATAATGAAAAATTCACAATGACAAAAAGATCTAGCAAACAACATATTTACCCATAGTAAGAAAAGTAATTATGGAATATTTTTACAAAAATATAGGCTATAATCCTAAGAGTAAGTGCATATACAGAGTGATGGGGAAACAAATCCAAAATAATCAGAAAGTCTAGAAATGGCAAAATGAAACACTATAAACATAATGTTATAGAATAAACCACAACCCTTCCTAAGCAAATAGAGATAAGATAGTGTCCATTCTTCAATATATTTATTTTGTGAATTTTATTAAATGACATCATAGACATGGAGTTATAAGAGAAAAGTTCTTTATAAGTGAAAGAAAAGTTCTAATAAACTGATTACCTTTGTGACATATTAGTAGTGTTTTCTGTGATCAGGTTAGTAGACATCAGAAATATTTAATTGTACATGTTGCCATTCTACTTACTGTCTGATATTTGCAGTAATTTTTAAAATTAAGTTTATCTATTCTATCAACATTCATTTGTTGATGCTATTTGTCTATTTGATGAAGCTAATTTTAAGTTATAACCCTTTGGCTAAAGTTTATGAGTATTTATAATATTAGATTTCAGACAAATGTAAACATAATAAATGTCTTTTCAATCCATTTTTAAGCCCACTGATGAAATACATTGATCTTTCTAAGTCAGCTTTACAGAAAATCACTTACCATATCTGCCCAACCAGATCATGGCTTTACATTCCTGAAGCTTGAAGGTCATATATAAATGGAATACAGAAATGGTGCACGTTTGATTTTTGGATACCTTCTTAAGGACTGAAGAAATTAAGGTCTCAAAATTGACTGTTCTCAAGAACATGAAAGTCTTCTGTTACTGACTTTTAAGGCCTCCCAAGTGATGCTAAGGAGGCCCAATATCCCCTCCTTGTGATGCAATCTGTAGCCAACCAGGTGGCAGTTCCATTTGGGACCCAAGTATGTGGTACAGGGATGCAAAGATTCGAATATCCCTGCAGTGCTGGATTACTGGGATTCAGAGTGCTTGATACTTGCTTGTGCCTTAACCCTTGTACTGTCACTCTGGTTCCATTACTAACTAATTTTTAGCAGTGCACCAATAGCTATGTAATGTGCAAAATAATAACATAAATGAAATGATGATCTAGTAAAGAATCATAATATTTTAAATGCCTATCATTTATAAATCATAGTACTTTATAATATATAATAAAATGTTACAGAATTACATAGTATTAAAAGTGTTATCTTGGAAGCACAGTAGATGTAGGATTGAATAGAAAAAATTATATCAGTTTTATAATCTCTGAGAAGTGAGGATAAGAGTGTATATTTTTAGAACCAATGTTAAGAAAAACAAACTGATTAAATAAGATGAATCAACATTATCTGGATATTACATACCACCTACCATATTGGTAAAAATAACAAAGTCTGATAAAATCAGATTTTGGAGGAAGAAGCCTTCAAACATTGTAGATAGAACTTATGTTGGTATAATCAATTTGCACAGAAAATGGATGCTTATTAAAGTTGAAGCTGGGAGCACTCTATGTTCATAAGTAAATAATCTAAAAGATTCATGTGATGACTATAAATGTTTAAAAATGAAAAGCTGAATACATTCTAATTGATCTTGCAATGAAAACTGATTCTAATTCAAACTGTAGACTATATATTACAGGCACATAGAGTGACATACAGTTCTTGTGAGAGGCAACTGTTAGAGTGAGGAATTTTCAAGCCCGTTAAACCATTACTAGACTAAAGCCAGTTGTGAAAGAAATACATGGGACAAATCAGCAAATGCTAGAGAAGAGGAATTCTTCACTCATTCCCCAAATACTAAGGTTTGTAAGTACACCACATTAGGGTATACATTTCTGAGGAGCGATAGCACAGTGGTAGGGCGTTTGCCTTGCATGCAGCCAACATGGCCGACCCGAGTTCGATTCCTCTGCCCCTCTCGGAGAGCCCGGCAAGCTACCGAGAGTATCTCGCCCGCACGGCAGAGCCTGGCAAGCTCCCCGTGGCGTATTCGATATGCCAGACACAGTAACAACAGAGTCTCCAATGGAGACGTTACTGGGCCTGCTCGAGCAAATCGATGATCAACGGGAGGGCCTTTACTTTACTTACTTTACTATTTCTTAATTTTTTTTTATTTTTGAATCACTGTGAGATATACAGTTACAAAGTTCTTCATCACTGAGTTTCACTCATACAATGTTCCAATACCCATCCCTTCACCAGTGTATATTTCCCAACACCAATGTCCCCAAATTCACTCCCACAGAGCTCCCACCCCAGACTGCCTCTATGGCAGATAGCACTGTAGCACTGTCCTCCCGTTGTTCATGGATTTGCTTGAGCGGGCCCAGTAATGTCTCCATTGTGAGACTTGTTGTTACTGTGTCTGGCATATCGAATATGTCACGGGTAGTTTGCCAGGCTTTGCTGTGCGGGCGAGATACTCTTGGTAGCTTGCTGGGCTCTCCGAGAGGGACAAAGGAATCGAACCTGGGCCGACCAGGTTGGCTGCGTGCAAGGCAAATGCCCTACCTGCTGTGCTATAGCCCAAACATGCATAATAAAAATTTAAATAAAAATTAAACGCTCCAGCCCAAAAATGCATAATAAAAATTTAAATAAAAATTTAAAAAAATAAATTCAGTTCCTCAGTAACATTCCCACTGTTCACAATTCACAAATCAGGTTGCAAATAGCTTCAATATTTAACAGTTCTTTTCCATAGCGATGGTGTGTTCTGACTATTGTTTTCCCTTCCCATTTAGGCTGGCTGGTTGCAGAAAGTAAATCTGCTATTCTGGAATGTGTTTGCTTGCTTTTGGAGACACAGAGTTCTTATTTTTATTTTGTTTTGTTTTCCTTTGGTCTTGCCTAAGCATCTAGATACTGTGGCTTTATTCTCGAATTTTCCCTGGAAATAGGAGTTCCCTGATCCATTTACCTCCCATCTTAGTGCGATTTTTATTTTTAATAATCCATCATCTCCATAAATCTCTATGGTCCATCCATTGACCAACTGATTTTCATACAATATCTAATCTATCTGGCTAGTTCTCTGCTTATAGTCAAAACAAAAAACAAGTGCAGAAAATTGCCCCCTAACATAAAAGAAAAACATCTTCTGTTTAAAATAATACAATATCATTGCATTGCAAGATTTGAAATTGCTCATTAGAACTTGGAAGTGGAAGTTTGAAGGTAAGAGTTCTGTACATATGGGTGTGTATTTTGTGTCCTAAATACAAACATTGTTTAATTAATGTAGCAATAAACTTAAGTTTGCTGTTTTTTTATGTCAGAATTGTCATCCCAGAATTCCATGTGCTGTAAATAAAACTCTCCAAAGAAATAATTGCCTTTTTTACTTATACAACTTCTTATATAACCTCTAACAAATTATTGTTTGTCTTGAATGAGTAAAAATAGAATGATTTTCTTCATAATTCAGTCATTAATTCAACTTTTGAAAGCACAAACTTTTGATTGAAATCAAAATTATACATTCCCTTTTAAGTTTTTAATATGGTATGAGAAGAATAGAGAAGTTTTCTTTTGTCTTCAGGTCACACTGAGCAGTACTCATGGTTTACTCCTGGCTCTGTGCTCAAGGATCACAACTGGTTTGGCTTGGGAACCATATTTGGTGCTGGGGATCAAACCCGGGTTCACTATGTACGAATCTACCTGCTCTACTATCACTTAGGCCACCCAAATATAGAATTTTTTATGGAAAACGTTTAACAATGTTGTTATAAAGCACTGTATTTGCCAGTCTCTGCCCTGTAAATTTCATTTTTACATTTTATTTCACATACTTTATTTTTCTTTTTATTCCAATATTTAATCTTTAAATTATTTCATATGGGAAAATAAATTTTACTCAAATAAAAAATGAGAAAATATAATCTATAACCTATTTGTCTATAAAAATAGAAATGACTTTAGCAAATACGTTGAGATTCAATATAAATTGGCTTTTTACTGTCACTTCTGTGAGTATATACACATACTAAAAAATAATGAAAAAGTAGACAAAAATGTGAAGTGTTAATCTCTGAACAGAGAAGGTATGAGCTACTTTTATTTACTTTCTACATTTCTACTGTTTTTAAGACACATAGTAAAATACAAAATATTTTATTAAGAATACTAGAGGCGAGTTTGCTCTTAAAGCCCATGATCTTTCTTAAACACATAACTCACTTGCTTGTCTCCTTGTTTTTTTGATATTTCCAATACCAAGAAGACTGTGTTCTCTCTAGAACATGCACTTCTCCCCTTCTCTCCCCTCGCATCTTTCTAAATAAATTTCAATAAGAACTTTCTTACTTCACACACACATACACACACATGCACTATAGGTGGAGTAAAGATATGTATGATTACTCCTGGTATCAGTGAAATGTAGTTATCTAAACAGGATATAAGTTTTTAACCTTGTGTTGTCAATGAAAATGTCTTTAATGAAAATGTCTGCTGGGAAGACAAAGACCTGAGTTATATTTTGGGAGTACAACAAGTAACTAATACCAATGTCTCCTATCATAATTCAAGACCACCAGGATTTGAGACATGAGAAAAAATGTTTGAGAGTTTAATTTTATATTGCTTAAATAAACGACTAAAGGGATCAGAAAGATAGCTCAAGAGATGGGAAGAGTGTATGATTAGCATTCAGGAAGCCCAGATTTGCTCCCTGTCACCACGTGGTCCCTGTGCACCTCCAAAGTGACCCTTCTGCTGGGAGCAGTCCTCTGGGGCTTTTGGGTGTAGCTCAAAAATATTAAAAGAGAACTTGAAAAATACAATTTTTATATGCAGAGATTTGGTTTTGCAGATATAAATACAGGCCAGGACACCTCAAAATTCACAGAGACACACAGTTCCTTACCTAATCCCTAGAAAAGTAACAGAGGTATCCAGGAAAGAACTAGTGGTTGACTCTTCTGTAGTAAAGGTGACATCCTTGCAAATCCTCCAAAGAGAAAAAAATAGTACTCTCTAAGACTGACTCATTTCTAGCTAGGACTGATCTGCAGGTAAATTATTTGCAGATAACCTAAGTACCATTTTGTCCCCAGGAACTTTTCTAATTCTCCTGCAGTTATGTGTTATTTTCATACCACAATCAAGAAACTGGTCAGTTAATATTTATATTTTTCCTGCTGACTTCCTGTCATACTCTCATATTAAAGACAAATATCATGGCATTTTCTAGTAAAGGAAGGACTGCATATATGACTGTGATCCTCAAAGACATATTCCATGCAACCTTGGAGGATGATATTCTCCAAGGGGAGACACTCTACAAATGGAAGCAAACACATAAGTAAAAGACCATTTCCAACAACAGTCACTTTCATAGGAGATGACACCATAGTGTGAAGGGGAGGTTAATACTGTAGCTATGGAAACAAAGGAGCATCTATTAAAAGAAGCAATATTTGTCTTAAAGTCTCATGCAGGGGAGATGGGCGGTGGGGGAAAGATGATGTAAAAAGAAGCATAAAATCGGGAACAGAAGCATCTTTGATGCAAGAATCAGGTTAGCGAGTCTGTTGAATAACAACAAGGTCAGGGTGGCAGAAGATCAGTAAAGGAAAGAGGAAGTGGATGAAAACAAGTCATCAGAGGCCAGCAAGACCTTGATTTGACCACAGAGAGGATTTTAGCTTATGGTAATAAGTTTAACGTCACTTCTGCTCATGATGAAAAGTCACTGGAGGGTCTGAAAATAGAAGTAATAAAATCTGATTTATACTTTAGCAAGAAAATCTGATTTTTCTTTTGGGGTTGGGGGGGGAGGGAATTCCAGTGATACTCAGCGGCTCCCTGGGGGTGCTTGGGAGCCTGGAGATCCCACGTGTCCGCTGACAAGTCCAGACAACCTAGGTCATATGTGGAGGAGGAACTGTGGGGAAGAGAGCAGTAAGAACGGACATGGGAGAAGAATGAGTATCACACTGGGGTGTTTTGGAAGAGGAGGCTCAAGAATAGCTTGGCATGAGTTGAAATAAGGAAGAGAAAAGGAAAATGTCATCAGAAAATAATTTATAGTTGCACGTGATGGGGGGGGGGTGAAGCATGGAGAAAGGACTGATCTCTCCCTCTGGGTTTTCTGATTTGAACAGTTTGGAGAACTGTGGAGTCATTTGTAAGAGATCAATATAACTGTTCTGTGTGAGAAGCAGATTTCATGAAGTGCTGTGTATGTGAAATCATTTGCTATACAGGGCTCATTTAATTTGAATATGATAAACAAGTCATGAAAAAGGAAATACAGAATAGAAGATATGAGTGAAGAATTACGGGATGAACTGGAGATGCATAGAAAGGAAACAAGGCATGTGTGTGTGGTGTGATTTCAGTCTAAAGAAGAAATTGTAAAAAGGAAGGACTGTGCACGCTACTCACCTGCTACTTAGTTGTGGGAGACAAAAAAGAAATAAACTTCAAAATACAATCACCATCCCAATTCAAAAGATTCCCATGGGTGGGGTCAGAGCAATCTTACAGAGGGTGGGGAGTTTGCCTTGCGCTCGGACAACCCAGATTCGATCCCCAACTCCCCCCATAGTCCCCAGAGCACTAACAGAAGTGATTCCTCAGTACGGAGTCAGGAATAACCCCTGAGCAGCAACAATAAAAGGATTCCCACGGAGTGCAAGGAACGTAAGGTGGAATAAACTGGAGCATTAAGAAGGAGACAAAGAAAATAGACGTGTAAGAAGTATTGTTGGAAACCAGAGTAGATACATAATAGGCAGGAAGTTGAGAAAGTCTTGAAAACCAGGAGACATTAATTTCCAGAGGCTTAATAGTGAGATAAGTTTATGTTTTTGGTGGAAATGATTCCATTCAAGCAATTGAGGAAAGTATTCCTTTTCAGGAGAAAAGTTTTAAGAAGCTGAAAGCAAAACCAAAGAGGATGAGTTCAAATAGGAGCAGTGGGGCTGGTCTCTGTCTCTGGGAGAAGCTGGGGACCAGGATGCTGTGAGTGGGGCTGGGGTACTGCTAACAGAGCTCTCCCAAAAGAGGGTGTCCTAGTAATAGACTCATCTTTCCATGCTGCGAAATTTGAAGAAAACTTACCAATTTGAGTCAGATTCGGGAGCTTTTTTCAGAAGAAAAAGAACTACTAAATCATTTCTCTATGAACAAGACTGGTTCATTGGCTTAGTTTAAGATTACCACCATCAATGCCATGGGAAAATGTGTTATTATTTTAAGTTTCTATCATAAATGGGATTTTCAAAATGAAATAAGAAGTTAGACAGTAGAGTTAGAAAGACGGGGCTGAAGAAAAAGTATAGTGGGATGCTTGCCTTGCAAGCAGTGAACCTGGGATTAATCCCTGACACCCTAGATGATCCCTCAACCCTACCAGGAGAATGACCTGAGCACAACTGGGTGTCTCCCAAAACCGAAATGTAAAAACTGAATAAAGAATTTAGACATAAGTGGCACCTGCAATAAGGGCATTCTTCTTGGCAAACCAGGCCCCCAACTTTGTGAAGTCAGTGCTAATTCCAGGGAACTTTTCAGATCTGAACTGCAGGAATCCAATTCGGTGTAAGAAGTCTGTCAAAGAGTGAAGAACACTAATGCATGCCACAAAAAGAAGAAGAATGAAATAAAAAGGGGCGTGCGTCAAAGATGACAGTTGGGTGACAGCTATCTCAGGAAAGATGTTCTTGTGACGCCATAGAGTAGTCTTTATAGGTTAACTTGGGGAAAATGAGTTACTATTTTTCTTTTTCCTTTAAGATCCCTTAAGCAACAAGAAGCACTGAGTAGAAAACAAACAAATGGGGAGGGGTGGGCAATGGTAACTGTGTATTCTCAAAAGGGTACACATCAGTTGCTCTGTGCAATCAATACCTGTATGTCGTTGGGCTGACGTTGATTTTCCGTGGTACACTGCACGACTCAAATTTGTTAGCCAAGGTGACATTGTTTCCGAAAAGGCAGTATCGGGGCATCTTCACTCCAACAACTCCAGCAAAAACAGACCCAGAATGCAGACCGATCCGCATCTAAAAATGCACAGCACAACATGGTGTTTTTGGTCACTGGCAAAACAATTCTCACGTGTCCGTGTCCTCTGAATGCTGTCTAAATTATTCCGGTAATCATTCTCCTAATAGCGCTCCACCCTTTCTCAAGAGCTCCAACTCCGTTCCCTGTTCTCCTTACAAACAACTAAAATTTCCAGTGCAGAATCAGTCACAACGCTACACGCCCTTTCTGCACTGTGGTTTTGAAGGCCACCCACTCATCCCCTTGCTCCTCACCTTCTCACCCTCCCCCCTAATATATCCAGATCATGTGTCTTAAGTGCATCTGGGCATGCAGATTATTTTGAGTCAAAATAAGAGGAGGTCCTCTGGGGTCAAGGAACATTTTCCACTGCTTAAATTACCTAGAAGAATTTCTAGGGAAGAGCCTCTTCCCAGAGTTAGGTCAGCACCAGCCGTGCCCTTTCTATCTGAATAACCTATGGCGATACAGGGCAAGATTAATCATCACTTGCAGAACATCTGTGCTTTGTCTCGTGAATAATCCCCTCTTCAGTGACCTTCAGTCCTCTCTCTGTGAAGTCTACTACCCTCATCCATTTCCTTGCTCAGGATAGACATGTAATTAATCCTTCCTCCTTGAATTCTTGTCACTGGGGGACCCTGGTCTATACAAATAGAAGTTTGGGGTTTTGCACAAATCTATCTCAAGTGGTTTTGATGATTTGATCAGTTAGAGAAATACCATCAAGGTAAAGTGAAATTTCCCCTTCTCTCCCATTTAACGTATTAATAATTTTAAATTCATTTGTCTTCAATATTTGGTGCTACCTTCCACACTTAGTCTATCACATTCACCATAGTGACAAGACTAAGTGTCTACGGGTTTTTCATGGGAACATGTTTTATCTAGTGGGTCAGAAAGACACAAAATATTCAGGAGCTGTTTCTGACAACACCATCAGTGAGGGCAAAATAAGACACTTCTTAGGATATAAAGTGGAGGGTTTTAAGCATTCTTCTTTTGAATGACAAATATTATGAGACTAGCAACTGTACCATTTTTTTTTTAGAAACTGTAATTTTTAAGACAAAAAGTACAGAGAAAGAGTTAGAGTTGCTTAGGCCCAGATCATAATGGCCACTGGAGCACTGTCCTCCCACAGTTCATGGATTTGCTCAAGTGGGTACCAGTAATGTCTCCATTGTGAGATTTGTTGTTACTGTTTTTGGCATATTGAATACGCCATGGGGAGCTTGCCAGGCTCTGCAGTGCGGGTGGGATACTCTTGGTAGCTTGCTGGGCTCTCTGAGAGGGGTGGAGGAATCGAACCCGGGTTGGCCACGTGCAAGGCAAGTGTCCTACCTGCTGTGCTATCGCTCCAGCCTGATATACTCTTAAGAGGAACAATCAAGAAAAAACCCCTCAAAACAACAATAAGGTAAAGCAGAGGCAGGGGTCAGAGAATGAATGAAAAAGGAACACAGACAGCATGAAGAACATAACAGCACATGACATGTCGCCACCAATGACTCTGCCGGTTCCTGGCCAAGTTTTTACAACTACAATCTCTCAGCCCTGCCACAAATGAAACATGAGCACAAATCCAGGAGTAATCCCTGAGTACTGCCAGATGTGACTATTCACCAAAAAAACTCACAAAGATAAAAAATTAAAAATTTTAATTATGAAAATTAAATGTGAAAAATTAGATACTATGGTACTTAAGAAAAATTGGGGGGGGGGGAATTGAGGAGTGGAGTTGTCCAGCAGTACTCAGGGCTTACCCCTGGCTCTGTGCTCAGTGATCACTCCTGGCAGTGCCTGGGGACATATGAGATTCTGGGGAATGAACACAGGTCAGGCATATACAAGGGAAGCACCTTACCCCCCAAACTGTCTCTCTGACCCTTGTGGTGCTTTTACAGTCCAACCATGAGGTCAGGTATGTGGCTTAAGTAGTAGGGATCATGCCTTGTGGGTGAGAGACAGTGAGTTCAACTCCCCAAGCCCCACAAATACTACTAAAACTTGCCCTGGTAACCCCTAAATACTACCAGTCTCTAGTGTTTCCCTCTGCAAACAGGAAATACAAGCATATTCTTATTTTAGACTCTCCTCCTGACTCAGTGGATCAAAGAATCCTCCCACCTGTGCAGACTTATAATTGCTTGTGCTCAGATGTAGGAAACAATGAAAGTGTCACTGTAGGGCTACTAAAACTGGATCGAAAAGGCCACACAGTTTGCAGCTCCTTGGCTGCTGCAACATGGGCTGATATGTTAGATGTCAGTTTTTCTTTCTTTTTTTTTTTTGAACTTTGAAATTCTTTTCTTTTTTTTAAATTTTTTTGTAATTTTAATTTTTTTATTAAATCACCATGAGACAGAGCATTATAAAGCTGTTCATGATTGGGTTCCAGTCATACAATATTCCAACACCCATCTCTTCTCCAGTGTAATTTCCCAGTTCTAATGTCCCCAGTTTCCCACCCCAACCCCCACTACATAGTTTACAGCATATCAGATAGGATCCGATATTACTTCAAAGTACATTTCTGAAGATCATCTACTGAGGACTTTTTCATAAAAATTAAATAACAGATTTCCAATAAGTAGGATAATGAATGATAATCTATTCATAGTCTTTTAAACCAATGTCACACATGATCATTTAATTTTAGCAACTGCACTGTGAGGTTATTCTAGGATGGGACTTATCTAGAAATGTTGGATATTATGTACCTTGAAATAAATATTAATGCATTAGCTTTCAGTATTCATTCTTGTATAATGTCATCCCCACGTTGTAAAGAAAAATTAAAAACCACATTTTTCATACTTTTAGTGACTAGATCTACTTCTGTTTGCTCAATGAGGCATACGTTCTGGGATTTGGAAGCCAGGTTTCCTGCACTAACTATCCTTCTGTGGGTCCAAGGCAAAGCACAACTGTGGAAGTCTTGGGTGTTCCACAGCTTGCTGTGCAAAGCCCAGTTTCGAGTCACGCATTTGATGAGGTCCTGATGCAGGAGTTCCAGGTTTCTGACTCAAATTAGAGTTGATCAGTTTTGTTCTATAATCAGTAGTAGAGACAGCAGCTTTCTGAACATGTTTCCTGACTGAACATGGGAGCTTAGTTCTGTAGCCAATTTTAGCATCATAGAAAGAGCATTGGTTCTCCAGGGCAGCTTTGGAAATATTTTTTAAAAAATTGGTATTAAAGGAACAATAGCTTATACCCTAGCTCCTTAAATCATGGCTGATATATACTATATAGGTCATGAACTAAATGTGGAGTGTGATGGGGGAGGGAAGTCATGAAAAATATGCCAGCAGTAAAAGGTTTCTGAAGTGCAATGACAAAAAATCAATTAAAAATCAAATGCATAATAAATCTGAAGTATTTCTGACAGCAGTGTTGCATTTTTTGGGTGAAAAGAGGTCATAAGTGAAAAAAAAAGCATTAAGAGGTACCAGTTTACTACTATATATATTTTACAACACATTAACTTCAAATGTACATCACCAAACCTACCATTCAACTTAAAAACTATTTATTTTCCACAGTTTTAAAATTTAATTTAATTTTTTTTTTTTTGCTTTTTGGGTCACAGCTAGCGATGTTCAGGGGTTACTCCTGGCTCTTCACTCAGGAATTACTCCTGAAGGTTTTGGGGGAACCATATGGGATGCTGGGGATAGAAACCAGGCGGCTGCTTGCAAGGCAAACACCCTACCCAATGTACTATTGCTCCGGCTCCCCAAATTTATTTTTTGATGACTGATTTATAGATGGTATTGGTCTTATCAATGATCCTAGACATCATTTTGTACCTCCTAGTAATTGTTCCTGCTTAAATGAATCAGAGATATTTCACTCTATAGCAAAACTCTAACAGATACATCATTCTTTTAATAACAATGGAGAAGCATCTACTCGCCTGACATGGTCTGGACAATATATGACCTGCCTTACCTTGATAGGCTCCCCATGGGGAGACATGACCTCATCAGAGAGCTCCATCATCTTTAGGGCCATCAGCGCTATCTGCACGGCATGGGTATCACTTTCTTTGTGTAGTCCTCCAGCCACACAATATGCGTCTCCAATGGTCTCTACCTACACACAGCAAAGGTTTGATATTTTTAATACAAGTTCTGGAAGAATCACAGCATATATGTACATATGCACAGTAGAAGTTAAGAAACATGGCACACCCTTCAGAGTGTTTGGGCCCTGTAGAAAGTGAGAATAAAACTCAAATGTCTTTTTCCTCCTTCAGGAAATGGACTCAATTATCACCAGACACCAGGGGATGGTACTGAAAGGGAGAATAATCCTGTGAGCACAGGTTCAGAGAAGTTTCCACATCATACTTGCTCCTAGATTTTTCACATCTCATCTAATCATTTTGCCTTTTCAAATCGTGAAATGAACTTTGTTGTAACAAATGATCAGTTTTGAATTTATAAGGAATTGATTCAAAATATTGGAATCACCTACAGATTTTGCACTCTCTCAATATAATATTTTGCACAAAGTCACACACACACTGTTTGGTGAATGATGTTTTTAAAAGTACTTTAGACCACGGTAATGGGGTTAAGGCACTTGCCTTGCATGTTACTGACTCAGACTATATCCCCAGCACCACATAGGGTACCCCAAGCTCTGCCAGGAGTGATCCCTGAGTACAGAGCCAGGAGTTAGCCCTGAGAAAGCTGAGCGTGCCTGCCCAATGCCTAAAAATAGTCCTTTGTTTTCAAAAGGGACTTTGGGAATTTTCCGAGAAAGCGTTTTCGTTAATATTAGTCACAGGATAGAGAAACCCAGGTGCCATTTCATAAATGAGTAACAGTAATACTTGGAAGGCTATTGAAAATCAAACAAGTTACAAATGTTTTATTTATCACTGTTATGACAGGCATTTTTTATCTGTGATTCTGACTATGAATAATCTATTCATCGAAATCTACAGGTAATTTGCCAACTCTAATAGTTGCATTTTTATTCTCTTCTAAATTTACTGTAATTTATCAGGCCACTTTACTTTTCTTTCCCAGAGCCTCCACTGTGGAATAATGGAGAAGAGAAAGAATGAATTCCCTGAGCAAATGCTGAAGTCTTACAAATCTTCCTTGGCTCCTGACTTGTCTGTCTACTAATCCATAACATGACTCTCCTTATTCCTTATTCCCTTTCTTGCATACTTTTTTCCAATTCCACTGGTCTCCCAATATCCCTCAAACATAACAAATATGTTCCCACTTTCTATTCCTTTCTCTGGAGCAGTAATTCTACAAATGATGACTTGGCATATCTGTGTTTCCTTTACTTCCTGCTAACACTTAAGAAGTTCTGTTCTAACCTTCTGTGATACAACTATCAACCTTTACCATCTCTCTTCTTGAAAAAAATTAATGTAAATGTTTACAAGTTTCAAGTTTAAGCTACACAGTGTTTACCCTCTATCTTCACTCCCCTAAAGCGGTCATATTTTTTTTTTTATTAGTGAAACACCATGAGGTACAGTTGTAGATTTACTATTTTTTGTGCTTGGGTTTCGATTATACAATGATCAGATACCCATCCCTCCACCAGTGCCCATTTTCCACCACCATGGATAATATCCCCCCAACCCCATCCACCCATCCCCCCCGTCTCTGTGGCAGGGCAATCCCCTGTGTTCTCTCTCTCCTTTTGGGTGTTGTGGTCTGCAAAAGAGGCATTGAGTGGCAAACATGTTCAGTCCATAGTCTACTTTCGACATGAATCTCCCCTCCTGGGAGGATCCTCCTAACACCCTTTATTTGGTGCTCCCTTCTCTATCTGAACTGCCCTTTCCCCTAGAATACCCAGCTGGCCTCTAAGTTATGGAGTAATCCTCCTGGTGCTGATCTCAGCTATTCTTGGGTATTAATCTCATATTTTGTTACTTTATATCTCCCAGATGAATGCAATCTTTCTATGTCTATCCCTCTCTTTCTGACTCATTTCACTTAGCATGGTACTTTCCATGTAGTACCACTTGTATGTAAATTTCATGATTTCATCTTTTCTAACAGCTACATAGTACTCCATTGTGTAGATGTACCAAAGTTTCTTTAACCAGTCATCTGTTCTTGGGCATTCAGGTTTCTTCCAGTTTCTGGCTATTGTAAAGAGTTCTGCAATGAACAAACAAATGCAGATGTCACTTCGACTATACATTTTTGCCTCTCTGGGATATATTCCCAGGAGTGGTATTGCTGGGTCAAACGGGAGCTCAATTTCTAATTTTTTGAGAATCGTCCATACTGTTTTCCAGAAGGGCTGAACCAGTCGACATTCACACCAACAGTGAAGGAGTGTCCCTTTCTCACCACATCCGCGCCAGCATCGGTTGCTTTTGTTCTTTTGAATGTGGGCCAGTCTCTGAGGTGTGAGATGGTATCTCATTGTGGTTTTGATCTGCATCTCCCTAATGATTAATGATGTAGAGCATTTTCTCATGTGATAAAGCAGTCATATTTTTTTTTCTACTAGGATATTAGATCTACTGGAATACAATAGAAATTCACTCATTTGTCACCTTATTTTGCCCCAGTAGAATGCAAATCCTCTAAGTCAGTCTCTTTTTGATGAACCCATTTATAATCAGTGCTTTTGCTAATGAACAAACCAGGCAGTACTGAAAATTTTCTTCAGCAGCAATGACATAAAAAGTGCTTATTATCAAGGCTAACAAATCAAAGGCTTCAATAGATGCTCAGTTGGGGGAAGTGACAACCCTACTTGGTCTTTCTCCCATGTTGCTACGGTACTTGGTACAGTCTGGAAAGGAATCAAACATCCTTCAGGTGAGATGAGAATTTCATGCTTTTCAATACAACCATTGACCCTTAAATATAAACTCCTGTAGGAATTGTGCCCACCTATGCTTGCAAATAATTGATGAATCACAAATATTTGCCCAAGTAATAAATGACCATTTAAATCAACAATAAGAAGAATGAATAAGGTAAAGGCCCTCCCGTTGATCATCGATTTGCTCGAGCGGGCCCAGTAACGTCTCCATTGGAGACTTTGTTGTTACTGTGTCTGGCATATTGAATACGTCACAGGGAGCTTGCCAGGCTCTGCCGTGCGGGAGAGATACTCTCGGTAGCTTGCTGGGCTCTCCGAAAGGGGTGGAGGAATAGACCTCGGGTCGGCCAGGTTGGCTACGTGCAAGGCAAACGCCCTACTGCTGTGCTATCGCTCCAGACCATGAAGAATAAATAGAAAGGAAAAAGTAAATAAGGTTTCAGTTCAATTAGGTCATAGTATTGATAAACTGACAATTCATTGGCAGGCAGGCATCTACTTATCCATCAGCATATAACTAAGCATACTATATGTTTTACATGTATTCATGTATTGTATGCATACATGGATAAGACCCCAATTTGCTAACAATAGTCTCCAAGTATTACAAGTCAAGCGATAACAGAAATGGAGACTAATAGAAATGGCAATTCTTATCTAACTTGAGCTGCTCTTGTATTAGTGCAGATACCCTGGCTACCATCCTTGGTAAGATGCATTTAGTCTAAATACTTGATAGCAATTGCTTCTTCAAGTCCATCACAACCGTTTGCAAAGGAAAGTAAATGTTCTCTCAATTCTGAGAAGAGGAACATTCTCAAGATAGAAAATAACTGCAAATAAATATAACGAATTCCACAAGAGGCCATCAAGCTTAACCTAACAAGCCTATTCATTTATCTGTAATTATACATGAAACTCTTTTTTTTCCCAAGGGAATCGTAGCTTTGCCTGGAATTTCCTGTTAGAAGTTGTAGAAAGGAGGGTTTTACACTTCTGGCATCTAGACTGGAACAAAGCAGAGGTTATGTATTCTCGTGGTAATGATTATTTCCGCCTAAAAAATGTACTCCACGTTAAGGGAAGCTCTGAAATACCAGAGTGCTCTGGCAAATGAAGAGATGGTTCAAGTCACAACAAATGAATTGCATGTTTTCTTCTTATTGATACTATGGCAAAAAAATTAAAACTAATTTCAATCAGCAAAAATATGTATTAATTCTAAATGACTGATAGAATGTAAAAGCTTTTCATCAGTTTCATAAGTTTCATTTTTTATGATTATTATGGTTTAGTTTTAATGTAAACAACAAGTCTCACAATGGAGATGTTACTGGTGCCTGCATGAGCAAATGAATGAATAATGGGACGACAGTGCTATTAGGGTTTAGGAAAAGTCACTACAGTACTTCAAATAACACTCTGAATGAAAGAGGAACTCAATAAATCCTACTCCTGATAAGTACTAGGTACTATCTATCATACTCTTTCTAGATTCTTCTCATGAGGAGTAAGGGGCAGAATGCATTTAGTCAGGCACGTCAGCACTGCAAATAGGTCTCATTTTCTGTTTTAGAAGTGAAAGAGTTTACCTTCCTCAGTTTACCAAGTAAAGTAGAGAAAAGGCTGAAATGCAATCCATCTTCAGATAAACTGCAGATAAACCCTGTCCTCTCTACAATAACGTCTTCCCAAGGCAATTTGGGTTACAGTTCACAACAGTGAAAAGTACAGTGTCAGACCATATAAAATATATCTTCTTTAAGATGAGCTGCTTGGGGCTGGAGTTATAGCACAGCGGGTAGGGCGTTTGCCTTGCACGTGGTTGACCTGGATTTAATTCGCAGAATCCCATATGGTCCCCTGAGCACCGCCAGGAGTAATTCCTGAATGCAGAGCCAGGAGTAACCCCTGTGCAATGCCAGGTGTGAGCCCCCCATCCCCCCAAAAAAAAGATGAGCTGCATAGTACTCAAGTTTATTTTTACTCATATAAAGTGTACATTTTCCCTGTAGAGGCCCACTTCGAATTCTTTTACGCTTTATAACTCTGCTTGATTTTCACAGTCAAATGTCAGGTGTGTTGACTTTTGAACTTATCTTTCCCTGGGTCCAGTCTTGCCGCATTGCCAGCCTCAGCCCTGACTTCTGTGTAAACTATCACCCTTCCATTTGGCACTTATTCTTTGGGAAAAAGAGGGGAAAAAATGCGGGAGTTCTTTTATGGAATAATTATCTCTGCTTCTGAGCAGTTGCAGAGCTATTTCTGGCTAGAGAACACCCACATGATTAATGCACAATGCCTGCTCCCAGGATGGGGCCTGCAGGGCCTGCAGAGAAACGCTTTCATTTGCATTCAGACTCAGGTCCAAGTTGCAGAGATTTTCCCCTCAGTCACTTGGACTGGTACGAGGGACACAGTCCCGTTCCAGGCTTACCTTGTACACATCCAGCTCTCCGCACTGCTGGTCGAAGCGCGTGTACAGGGCATTCAGCATGGTGATGACCTGCAGGGGCGAGCACTGTGAGCAGATGGCAGTGAAGCCCACGATGTCTGAGAAAAGCATGGTGACATTGCTGAACTTCTTGGCTTGCACGACTTGCCCTTGCCACAGCTGCTGCGCGACCTCACAGGGAAAGATAGAGCACAGGAGGTCAACCGTCTTTTTCTTCTCTTCTTCCAGGGCCAGGTGGGCCTGCTCCAATGTGGCCTTCAGCTTCCCCATCCTCTTCTTCAGGCCATCCTGAGCTCTGGCTTGCTCCCCTATCAAGACCACATCCCTCAGTGCATTGTGAATGGGGATATCGGACAGATACAGCCCTCGCCCTGTAAAATCTTCCAATCTGTCCACGCAAGGGGACCCCAAGAACAGGATGGCGCTAGATTCAACAATGTAGAGCATTTGGCCTTTGAGGTCCATAACCTGTGAAGCAAAGGCAAACAAACAACTGTGGTTTTGCAAGAATCCCAAGAGCTTTCTCAGACAAAAGGAGAAAAAGAAGAGATACAATTATCATTCTTTTGCATTTCACCTTATTTTTTCCCCCTTTTTTATTGGACAAAGAAAAGTCTGCTTTCTACTGTTCTTGAAGTTCTCAAACACATGGTGACAACTGAAGACTCTTTTGGCTTGTACTCTACACAGAAATCTTGCTTTTCAATGTCCCAAATTCTGACTTCAATAATATATCAAAAACAAGGATAGCTGGTTCCTGTAACGCCTTTGACAGTAGCACTTAGCAGGAAAAGTTGATCCAAGACACACTTAGGAGAGATGTGGCTTCCATGAGCCATTTTGGGTAAACAGAGTTAACATGTATGGAGGAAGAAAGAGAAGTAAATTTGTGGTTCACTGTAGCAAATCCTCAAAGAAGGCCTGAAATATGTTTAGTGAATTAAAAATGATGAAATAGCAATGTCTGTCCTTAGAAAAAATGTATATTAACTAGTTTTTTCTACAGTGAAATCTTAAATGTCATCCACTTAAAAAAATTAAATATCCATTTTCTAAAAAGCTTACATCTTTATGATAAAAGACAATAAATTTGATTTCATTTGGAGGAGCATTTTGCCTCACCATTATGTGAGGTTTATCAGTATCACAAGCCTGATAACTTTGCTTATATTATCAGCTGTGATTCAGCAAAATTCCTTTGCTAAAACGAAATCATTAGCAAAGTTGATGAGAGAGCATCTCTTAGCAATTTATCAAGTCATGGATTTTCCATGTCTATGAAATACTGGTCAAAAGTCCATTTTTATCCCCATAAGAAACAAGTATTTTTAGTAGTACTTTATAAAACAATACCTCATATTATAATCAATTAAGTTAGTTAGGTGATGATAATTAGATTTTTATGCAACTTATCTAATTCAGCTCTAAAATACTCCTAAATAATTTTCAAAGCTGAACACATTCAATGAATATCTGTGTAGTCAAAAGAAAGAAAACAAATGAGAGGATTGGGCAGAAAAAAATTTCTTTAAATTATTTTTAAAAAAATAAAGAATTAGGCCTTCCAATTATATGAGAGTTGTTTTAGACATAAATGTTTTATTAAAGCATTTTTAGTGAGATATATGATTTTGTCTTTTGCTGTTGCATCTTCAATTATGCTGTAACTAATTTTTATAATCAAAATACTGAAATATTGGACTGGAGAAATAGCATAGCCAACATGGTGCGGGCCTTCCACACAGCTAATCAAGGTTCAATCCCTAGTATATCTTGACCCTTGAGCCTTCCAAGATTGTTCCCTGAGCACAGAGCCAGGAGTAAGCCCCAAGCACAGTCAGGTGTGGTCCTCAAACAAACAAACAAACAAACAAACCAAAACACTAGGAAGAAAACACGATTTTTTTTCCTTACCCTGGATGATTTCTTCACAGAATTGTCCCATCTCCGCACTCGGACAACAAACTGCATGTTTAACATAGTCATGATTCCACTAAACGTCTGGGTGATTTTGGGAGTGAGAATTTCAAAGTACTCTTCAAAGTGAGGTTTCCCTTGGAAATCTCTCCTGTTCATCAGCCGCCGGATGCCATTGCCAAATTGCAGAATTGTCATGTCTTTGTCAAACATGAAATGGAACGGAAACGTCTTACAGAAGAGAGAAGTAGGGATGACCAGGGACGACTGGGGCTTGCCCGGGGACAGGGAGGCCTTGGAGCTCTTGACTTGGACTGAGTAGAGCACGTAGGGCTCATTAACAAACTCCGTGCAGTCATTGTGGAAGCAGGGTGGCAGCAGAGACACAGCCACTTCGGTGTCGTACAGGGTGTGCGCTGCGGCCTTAATGATGCCCGGAAGAATCAATGAAGTGATTTTCTTGGGGAAGAAGTAGTAAACGTTGAGGAAGTCGTCGTCCTTGTCCAGGCACAGAATGGAGGCCTCCTCCAGCCGGCCTCTCTTCTCTGCCTCTTGGCAGTGGCTGCTCTGTTTCAGCAGGGTGCTGAAGCTGTTTAAAAAATCTTTGAGGGTTCCTCCGACCACTTTGAGGATGTGTTCATCTTCTTCATAACAAGTGTTGAAAAGCTCTTCGCCAAGAGATTCCTTGACGATCTCCACTGGAACTCCTGGAAGCACAGAAGAGGCTGTTTTCTTCCATATCAAGTATCATATCATGTCATTCAAGGAGGGTTTAGCCATTACTTCAGAGTAGCCCATATGGTCCCTGAACCCACCAGACGTGATCCCTGAGCACAGAGCCAGGAGTAATCACTGAGCACCACCAAGTGTGGCCCCCAAAGAAAACGACAACAAAAAAGTCCAACTCTGATAAGTTTTTAAAAATATGAATTTAGTATAATGAGAACTTTTATGCACACAAATCTTAAACAAGTATAAAAGAGTAATTAAATTTCTGAGCTTATACCCACTTCAGAAAAAGCTTTCCTTCCTTTCTGTTAACTACTTAACATACATTTTCAAAAAAGAAGACTTTTTTTTTTACTTTTGGGAGTTCTCTAGAAGGTAAGAATCAGACACAGGGTGAATTTTTGTGGGGTATGGCATGTTCGGGCCTTGGACCACACATACCAGTGCTCAGGGTTTACATCTGGCTCCGAGGTCATGGAAACTCCTGGTGGCACATAAGGAATCACCTGTGGAGCGAGGGATCAAACCTGGGACAGCTATATTCAAGTTCCCTACCAGTTTTATTATCTGTGTCTGGCCCAGGTGAAATTTAAATCACTGGTCTTGAAACTCTCTTTTGTCACTTCTTTCTCTACATGATAGAAAGTACCTTTTCTGTTCTCCAGAGAAAGACAACACTCTTGTGTCTAAAAGTCACCAGAATGAGTATTTATTTAGAATATGTTTTTTACTACCTTGATATCCTTCCATTACCTCTATTTCTTACATCCTGTGGAACAAGAGTCTTTTTAATGATGATGTTTAGGCTAGTACCTAGGTCCTAGAAAGGGGTCAAGGTTTTAAATTTGGGGGGGTGAGTGGTGGAGGTTCTCACACAATGCTCCAGAAACGCAGAGTCAATCTTGGAAATAACTAGACAATGGGAAACTTGTCTCAAAGCTGGAACCCAGGAATATAACACTGGCTGGGTTGGTGGACCATGCATTGGGGGCCACGCAGAGAATCAAACTTGAAATCTAGGTCATGTGAAATATATGCCCTAAACTCTGAGCTTTGTCACTGGCCCCATTATTAAATTCTCATTATCTTGTACATCTGGAAAGACAGCCTATTGGGCATCATAATCACTGAAAAGAAGTGACAAAGTTATTCATCTATTTTTTAAAAAAAAACCTATGAAAATGAAAATATGAAAACTCTTAACCTTTTCCCCATTATTGCCTCCAACCCTTCTGAAAATATAATTTATTTTATTCACTTGAGTAGAAATGTTCATGCATAAATGAAGAACACTTCAACACGTGATTACAATATATAAACCTCTATGGGTAGGATTCCCAGGAAGTCTTCTCTGTCTCCACAAATAAATAACATAAAAGGAGAAAATGTTTTAGATCAAACAAAAGAATGTAATAAAAAGAGAGTTATTCTTTATGGTAACAATGCATAATAATGACCAGTTTACATGGGAATTTACCCACAAATATATCCATGTATTTCAGGAGAAACGTTAGTTCCATACATATTTTCCAACAATGGAAAATAGTAGTTAACAGAACAAACATTAGTTCTACAAAGATAATCACTTGACAATGACATGTATTCAAACAACTTTATTACCTGCAGAAATTGCTTGGTCTGCAATTATTTTTTCAAAGTCTTCTTTTTCCAAAGATTTTCTGAAAATAGTTCAATAGCTTAAATTACAAAGTGGCAAATAATTTTTAAAACTTGAGACTACAACATATAGAAATAAGGAAGAAATCAAGTTCAATTGCGTGTTCAGTTGAGAAAGAACTGGACTATCACATTAAAATGAAAGAAAGAGTGAAATTTTTAATTAAAAAAATGTTGGAAGGGTTTATGGCATACCCATTGTAGATTATTTAATCATTTTAATAAAACATATTTACCTTTCTATTAAAATTATTAGGCTAATATTATCAGTTCTATATTGACAGAAAACCAGTATATATAAAAACTCCCAGGAGGGAATGTAAATAAAGCAGACCAGTCTTTTTCTGTAATCTAACCAAGATGAAAAATCTATGTTTTGTTAAATTTTACTTGTAGATATTAATATATTTTATAAAGAAAATACATCAAATAATTTGGGGGGTTTTGTTTATATATGCATATATACTTTTAGATATTACACTAAAGTTTTGTTTTCTTGTATAAGAATATGTATCTAAGGAAATCTATTACTTATCTGATTTTGTTCCTGGTTTCTATAGGATTGAAGTTGTTGATGATATAATAGCATTCATTCTTATTGTTAGAAGGTTCAGATAATTTCAACTCAACAATACACTGATTTATGGTTTCGCAGTTATTTTTGATGATTTCTAATAAATTACCACAGTGAACAAATTTGCCGAACCACTAAAGCATATTCAAAGACAATCAAAATTATTTGTCAGCTTTGTTCAATTTGTTATTACACAGTGAAATTTATAAATAATCATAAATATAAACTTTTAAATAAGTTTCACGACAAAGTTTTGTGTGGAGAAGTTTTGAAAGGAAATATTTGCAAAAGGAGAAGCTGTTCATTCCATAATTTTCCTACATAAAGCTAAATTGCTTTGTGTTAAAGTAGAATTATTTTTTAAAATTGGTCAAAGCTCACTATATCCAATTTAAGTATAAAGTTCCCCCCAAAACTTTATGTTATATATTTTGTTTTATAAGTAATCATCTTTTAGATTTACCTCTTTTTCTCATGTGAGTAATTTTTACTTTTGTTCACAAATAATAAGAGCAAAACTGCTCAGAGAACTCTGAGATGTGAGAAAATTTACTAGTCCAAATAGTACTTAGTCCAATTCAAAATGAATTCTCTATCTTTTTCTTCAATGAAAATAGTTTTAAGTGCAGGTGTGCATTCACACACACACACACACACACACACACACAACACACATGAGCTGATTAATGTTACGATGTATCACATGGCCACAGAAAGAGAAGAAAAGTGAAAATTCCTTCTTATAACCAAATTAAGGAGTTTATCACAAATACTATTATTCACAACTGCACTATAACTCACTCACTTACTGTGAATAGGATGTTTAGTCTTTTATTGAAGAACAATTCATTGTTTAACATGTTAGGATTTTGCTTTTCAAGTCACGCTAGTGGTATTCAGTGGCTGACACACTGAGAAGAGTAAAAGTTGCAGCTCACTTGCCAAAAATAGAAGATGGGGGATGGAGGCAGACAGGGAAAAAAAAAAAGAAAAAAAAACAAACAAAAACAGAAACAAGAAGAGGGAAGTCATTTACCCTATCAGCAGGCAGTCTTATGAGAACAAAAATTCCTTATCTTCTTTCAACAACTGAATGATTGTTATCAGGGCAATTTCAAACTGTGATCATCAGCTCTTGAAGAAATCAGGAAAGGGTTTGCAAGATTTCCAAAGAAAATAATTTCGGCAAAGTTTTGAAATTTTTAAAAGCACTCCATCACTCCATCGCCTGGAAGGCATCCTAACGAAACGTCTGCCTGTAGCTTTAGGAACTTTCAGAACACAAAGGCCTGAGAATAAATTTTGAGTAAACTGGCTGCCAAAGATTGAGGCAGACAGCCCCAGTAGCACAGCAACAAGGCTAGTGGCTATCTTATCAGGAGACTGAGAATTCAGGTCAGAGGCATTCTGGAATGCTTTTCCTATCACTGCTGTAAACACAGCTTCTGTCAGACACATAGATTCACACTTTCTACTTTGGGATCTATCAATGACCCCTTCTTGGCTGGCTGGCTGGCTATGCAAAGCTGGGAACAGTTAGCCTGCAAGGAAAATGAAGTGCAGATTATCCACAGAGCAGATTATTCCCTCATGAGTTGATGAATGAATTGATTAAATATCCCTGACTATGGTACCACTGATTTGCTAACTTCACTCTTCAAGTCTGCCCACTGGATCTCAAGTAATGTCTTATGTATAAATGAAATCATCCTTGGACTTTGAATCAGCAAGTTTTCTTCTGCCAACAGTAAATGTACTAAAATGTATTTGAAAAATGAGCTATGTAAATGAGTTGAAAAAAATCACCTTTAATATTAAGCATCCCCTGAATTATTTTTCAAAGAAAACCTAAAAAAAATAATACAAGGTAAAAATGCCTAGGGACTGGGGAGATAAAGGCCGTGGCCAGCGCTGGTTCAGTCCCCAGCACCATGGATTGAGCCGATCTTGTTTTGGTACTGCCATCAGCATCACCAGCTGAGTGGAGTCCTGGAGGGCCACCAAGCACTGCTAGGGTGACATCAAAGGGCCTCACAGTTCAGGTCTGAGCAGAATAGCATTTTCAGCACTTTGGATTCAGCCATCACCCTAGCTGGACAAGAACAGCCAGGAGTGGCCCCTGAACCAACTGAGAAATTCTTGGGAACCTCCTCCCTTGCCCCAGTCTGATGAAAAAAAGTGTAAGAGAAGCTGATACTGAGGGAGTGTAGAATGTTATAACCAAACAGGCCATAAAAAACACCAAAGCACATGCTTACATCTTGGTCAACAATTATTGTTTAAGGTCTCTAGAAACCTCTCCACCTAACCCACTTGATTCTTCCATCTACTACTTATATAGCTAAAAGCTTAACGATCTCTGACTCTGTGTGAGTGTGGTGTGTGTGTGTGTGTGTGTGTGTGTGTGTGTGTGTGTGAGAGAGAGAGAGAGAGAGAGACGCGCACGCGCACACAGAGGGAAGGGGGTGGGGGGAGGGAGGTTATCACAATCCTGCTTCCATGCAATGCCCAGGCCAGGAGTCTATACTAATTCTTTCAATCCACGACTTGGAGTCTTTTCTAATTCTTTCAATCCACGACTTCTTTGTCTGCCTCTAAATATATATATATATATATATATATATATATATATAGAGAGAGAGAGAGAGAGAGAGAGAGAGAGATGCTCAGGGATTACTCCTGGCTCTGCACTCAGGAATTACTCCTAGTGGTGCTCAGGGGATCATATGGGATGCCAGGGATCAAACCTGGGTTGGACACACATGCAAGGCAAATGTTCTGCCCTGCTGTGCTATTGCTCAGAACCTTCTAAATATTTCTGTTTATATATATTATATTAATATTTATATATTAAATATACATTATGTATATTCTACTAATTATTACCCTTTAGTAGAAAAGAATGATCCTCATGGATGCCTGTGAAAAGCTGTATCTATGCCAACATATTAAAATCACAAACTCTGAAAAATCCAGGTTAAAAACTCAGTCTGTCTTTTATAAAATGCTCTAAGAAAAAGACATTTTCAATTAACACAAAGAGGAAAGGTGGGAAGGGAAAGTATGTTTACTTTCCGATGAGTAACAACAGCTCAAACACTATGTCCAGAGGCTGGCATATCATAGACCTTAAAGAAATGGTGGCACATTCCAGATGAGTTGGCTACTGATAGAGGTCTTAAGATGGAGACACAATTAAAGGGGTTCACTTTACCTGATTTCCTTGATCTTGTGTTTTGCCAGCGTCCTCTGAAGAGCAAGGTTCAGCCTCTCGAGCTGAAAATTTATAAGAAAAGTTTTAATCCCTTAGTCAAATAATAATTCATTTAAAGGGGAATATTTGTTTGAAAATCATCACGAAAGCTCCTTGTGTAGAATTAAACGTCACCACTGTCATGGTAAAATGTGGAAAACTGACACTTTAGAAAACAGGGAACAATTTTATGTGCGGTTTTTCAAACGTGGGAAAACTCAAGCTCTGAGGAGTTTGAGTCTGGATCTTTGGGTCTAGAGCCTGTTCCCTTTGTGGGTGGTCTCACCGCAGCCACACACCGAGGTTGAACTGAGCCAGGCAGAATCCAAATAGAAGAGTCCAGTTTGGTAAGGTCAGACCCTTGAAGAAGGCATCGCGGGCATTGCTTCCTCGGAGGCAGGAAATCCCTTTACAACTGCTGCCAATACTTCAACCTCGACATGGCTCGAGCCAAGTAAATTCTTGTTATTCTCACAAACTCTTTTCCCTTAACTACAAGTACATATTTACTTTCAAAGATACTTTTCACTTCCAGGTCTAGAAAATTCTGGGCTGGGGTTGTCCCCGACTATTCCTGTTCTCTCCACCCTCCCACCCCCACCCCCCATTCCAATCTGTCATCAAGGTTAATTGATGACTAACACGAAACAAGTCTTAGATTTACCCATACTTTTACTGACTTTTTTCTCTTTGGTTTAATGACCCTCAGCAAATACAGTCTTTTCCTCTTTTATTGTTTTATGTGTACTTTGTGAATATTCTATTTCCAAAAAGATATTAAATAAGATGCATGTTCTACACACATACATCTTATTTAATAAATACTTTATTGCCCATTTATTTCTTCTAACGTTCTATTTAGTTATTCACTATATCTAGTAAACTAGAAAACAGAGCAATTGGTAAGCAGAGCTTCCCCTGATTTGGCATCCCACATAAACAGCATGTTTATCATAACCACGGATTCTTTCTGCACTTTACCCAGAAGAAAGTTAAGTACTTTCTGGCTATGCTTCAACTTGGGAAATTCCTTTTTTCTTAAGAACTATTTATATCACCCTTAGTTTTTCCACTGGCCAAGTGAAGTAGGTAGGGTAGCAAAATAGAACAAGCGTTTGCTCTTATAAAAAGAATTATGAAAAGAATTGTCCTTTTTAATGTGCTTATAGAGCCTCAGAAAAGAATTTAAAATTTCTTGGAATTAACTCAGGAGAAATGAAAGGAAACTTCATTGTATAAAACAGAAAATTCCCTTACTATGTACTGACACAGTGAACACCTCTGCCTGAGAAGGAAGCAAGCCAGGAAGGAGATTTGGCTAGTGGTCAAACCTGAGCTCAGTCCTGATAGCAAAGAGCAAGATGGATAGACAAGTTCAGGAAGGAAAGTACAAGCATGTTTCTCAGCAGTATTTTGTATCTAGGGAAAAGGAAATGAATCTTAAATTGGTGAAACCAAAACAAGGTGCATTTCCAAACCAGGGTACTTGAACTGTCTCTGACAGCACTGGCAGAGACACATTAGTGAGGACTAAAGTCCTTGATGTCAGGGATCCCTCTGACATCTTCCTGCAAAACATATTTCTACAGGGAAAGGGTTCATGACTAAGGTTATTAAGAGTCTCCTGGAGTGAATGAGCACTCAAATTTTAGCACGCCTAACTTAAAATAATTAATCTGTAATCGACTGTGCTTCTCTGATTTGCAATACTGTGAGTGATGTTTTCTCCTGTTTCACACCCATTACCTTGCACCCGCCTCCTTCCCCCAATACCAATCCCTTCCGACTCCCTGCTGCACCAACTCAGTTGTGTGGATCAGTTCTCCCATTATGTTGCCTTGGCCCTTGGTTGCCACCTTGCTGTGTATTTTTAAGTCCCAGCTATAAGAGAAATCACTTTCTTTTCTATCTGACTGACCTCACTCACCATGATACTTTCTACTTCCATCCACCTTGCTGCAAATTGCAGGACATTGTTTCCTTCTTAGGGCTCCATAGTATCTCCTGGGTTGCTAGTTCAGATAATGATTAACTTTTCTACCTTTCTTACTTTACTTCTAGATAAGAAATATTATAATTTTTCTTTTTTTTTTTTTCCCCTTTATTTTATTTTATTTTTTTTAAAGTTGTAGATTTACAATTTTTTGTGCTTTGGTTTCAATTATACAATGATCAGATACCCATCCCTCCACCAGTGCCCATTTTCCACCACCATGGATAATATCCCTCCCACCCCCATCCCCCCATCCCCCCGTCTCTGTGGCAGGGCAATCCCCTGTGTTCTCTCTCTCCTTTTGGGTGTTGTGGTCTGCAAAAGAGGCATTGAGTGGCAAACATGTTCAGTCCATAGTCTACTTTCGACATGCATCTCCCCTCCTGGGAGGATCCTCCAAACATCCTTTATTTGGTGCTCCCTTCTCTATCTGAATAGCCCTTTCCTCTAGGATACCCGGCTGGCCTCTAAGTTATGGAGTTATCCTCCTGGTGCTGATCTCAGCTATTCTTGGGTATTAATCTCATACTTTGTTACTTTATATCCCCCAGATGAATGCAATCTTTCTATGTCTATCCCTCTCTTTCTGACTCATTTCGCTTAGCATGATACTTTCCATATTGTACCACTTGTATGTAAATTTCATGACTTCATCTTTTCTAAGAGCTACATAGTACTCCATTGTGTAGATGTACCAAAGTTTCTTTAACCAGTCATCTGTTCTTGGGCATTCAGGTTTCTTCCAGTTTCTGGCTATTGTAAAGAGGGCTGCAATGAACAAACAAGTGCAGATGTCACTTCGACTATACATTTTTGCCTCTCTGGGATATATTCCCAGGAGTGGTATTGCTGGGTCAAATGGGAGCTCAATTTCTAATTTTTTGAGAATCGTCCATACTGTTTTCCAGAAGGGCTGAACCAGTGGACATTCCCACCAACAGTGAAGGAGTGTCCCTTTCTCGCCACATCCACGCCTTATGAATTTGAAATACCTTCCCTTTTTTTCCTTCTTTACCCCCTCTCTTCTTACAATTTAGTATTTTAGAACACATGTAGATCTAGTGATTACTTTCAGATCCTCCTATTAAATCTTTGACTTGAGGTAATATTTACAAGCAAATCAACTTGAGTTGATAAGACAACTCAGTGGATTCTACTTTGCGATAACTGTGGGTAGTATTTCGTTGTGAACTCCTTAAAAATACTATGTTTGGAGATTATCAGAGATCAATATCCATGAAAAATAAGCAAATAATACTGTAGTAGAAAGAGCAATAAATTACAAAATAGACACAGAGACTCTTCCACTTCTCTAGCTATTTTTTGTCTATAATGTAAGTGCCGTAATTTTACATGCCCAATTTCCTCAAGCAGAACTGAAAAATGTGCCGTAGATGGCCAGTAAATGCTAAATGCTATGACTCCAGCATTCTAGGTTGGTAGCTCCCACTCTAACTTAACTGAGGTTACTCAGTCTTAATGTTTGTTCCCATAAAAACATGATTGAAGAGTGAATTTAATCTGATTATCTAGAATAAGAACTATTCTGTGGTGAAATGGTATTTGAGATGATCCCAGTGGACTGTGAATATTAATTAAATTAATAGTATGCAAAGCTGCTGTGCTCTGGCAAAGACTATGAAGAAACGGTAAAAAGTCACCTTGTCACTTTTAGTATTGTCACGCTCATTAAGATCTCTTTGGAACGTGACAGTGAGTCAACAACAGGCAAGCATTGCTTTGGTCTTCCATGTAAATATTACATAAATTTCTAGAAATTACTCAGTAAGAAGGAGAATCTCAAGCATGTAGGGATAAAATTAATGGATCCCTTATTTCCTGGAACTGGTGAATGGGATATTTTAAAAGCTGTTATTTTCAAAATTAGTGTTATTGGGGTATAATAAATATACACTAAAGGCCACTCGATTTTAGGTATACAATTTAATAAACCATCCCTTACAACCACTAAAAAAAACCTATGCAAAGGATAAGTCTGAACAATATAAAAAGAATATGAAGAAGAAAGTTGTTATCAAAAAACCATACTTATGTTTGTTGTTGATATTATTATTATGGTTTGGGGGCCCTATGCAACGATAGATGTTGAATCAAGGTCAATTTCATGTAAGACAAAACACTTTAACCCCTGTGCTATCTCTCAGGCTCAAAGATATAATATTTAAATAACTGATAAGCTATTCCAGATCAGGACTTCTTAATCTTTTTCCAACTGTGGTTTCCTTCCAAACTTGGTCCCTTCCTGGGACCCTCCTGTCTGTTTCCTACAGCTTCACTCCCTACTCTCATTCTATGGTCTACACTAATGTCAACCTCCCATGTTGTGGGTTTACAAAAAAAATCTATGAGCACTAACAAAGAAAGGAATATATAATGGAGATGTTCAATTGCTTTTACTTTTAGCCTAATGTGTAGAGAAGTGCTCTACACGTCTCTTCTGTTCTTAAAATACTTAACCTAATTAAGAATATGCTCTGGGCCCTAGAGGTAGGATAGAGGGAGCAAAGTGCTTGCCTTGCATGCATCTGATTTGGGTTTAATCTCAGGCTCCAAATAAGGTCCCTTGCCTGTCAAAAGAGATTCCTCAGCACAGTCAGGAGTGAGCTCTGAACACACCCAGGTGTGGCCCAAAAATGAAAATGAAAACAAAAGAATTTCTAAAGCTGTTAGAAACAAACGCATTTGGCCCATCCCCAGAGTCTTTTTAAAAATTGCAGTAATAGAAATAGCAACAGGCCTCCAGATAAAGATATTGGCGTAGTTACAATGAAAAGACTGCATATCCTTAAGGTTCAATAAAAAATGAAAAAGTGCTCTATATCCCTAATCATCAGGGAGATGAAAATCAAAAGAACAATGTGGTATCACTTTATACCACAGAGACTGGTACACACCAAAAAGAATAAGAACAACCAGTGCTGGCATGAATGCGTGGAGAAAAGAACTCTCATTCACTGTTGGTGGGAAAGTTGACCTGTCCAGCTTTTTGGAAAAAAAAAACCTGAAAACTAGAAACTGACCTTCCATATGACCTAGCAACACCTCTTGTGGTGCAATAACACACAGCAGAAGACGTCTATACTTGTATGGTTCACTGCAGCACTGTTCACAATAGCCAGAATCTTAAAACAATCCAAGTGCTCGAGAAAAACAACTGGTTAAAGAAACTGTAATACATCTGTAGCACTGTAGCACTGTCCTCCCGTTCATTGATTTGCTCGAGCAGGCACCAGTAACGTCTACATTGTGAGACTTCTTGTTACCGTTTTTGGCATATCGAATATGTCATGGGTCGCTTGCCAAGCTTTGCCGTGTGGGCAGGATACTCTCGGTAGCTTGTCGGGTTTTCCAAGAGGGACAGAGGATTCAAATCCGGGTCTGCTGGGTGCAAGACAAAGGCCCTACCCACTGTGCTATCGCTCCAGCCCATAATACATCTATACAATGGAATACTATACAGTTGTTAGAAAGAATGAAATAATGAAATTCGCTTATAAAAGTATGGACCTGGAGTATGATGAGTGAAATAAGTCAGAAGAAGGACTCATAGAATGACTGTAATTATCTACCGAGAGTATTCGATATGCCAGACACAGTAATTATTTGTGGTATATAAAAAATATATAACATTAGACTACTACCCAAAAACAGTAGAAACAAAGGCCAGGAGGATTGGTCCATTATTGAAAGCCTGCCTCAAGAGCTACAGGAGAGAGCATTTGGGATGGGAATGGGACCATTATGACAATGATGTTTGGAAGGGATCAAAGGAATAGCTCTGGATGAGAGATGGATGCTGAAAAGGTAAAGGGCCAGTCATGATGGCGACTCAGTATCTATACTGCAAAGTTCAACGGGAGAGAGAGAGAGAGAGAGAGAGAGAGAGAGAGAGAGAGAGAGAGAGAGAGAGAGGAGAGAGGTGCCTGCCACAGAGGAGGAAGACTGTGGCAAGGCCGGTGATGGCAGAAGGGATGCGGGGAGGACACTGGTGGTGGGAAATGTATACTGGTGGACAGATGGATGTTGGAACGTCGTATGATGGAAACCCAATCACAAAAGCTTTGTAACTGCGCATATCATAGTAATTCATTAAAATAAATAAATAAATAAATAAATGAGACAAAGCAACCAGGTAACAGAATATTAGCTTTTAAGAGAATTTATTATCCAATCCATATTAGTAAAATGTTAGCAAGGAAGCTAAGCCCTAATTGAAACACTGACACTGTGTTCCTTCCTATAGCCACACATCAATAGGCCTCATCAAATGAGACCAGGAAGAGTCTTTGCCTGCCAAGTTCTTCTGCCCCTCTGCTGCCAATTGTAGGAACAGTCCTGATGTTTTATCACTCAGAGATGGTTTAAGGAGTTCATGTCCAAGATGCTTCCTTTCTATCAGTTATAACAAAGAGATGTTTACAAATTGAGTTAATTCACTCATTCTACTTTTTTATTATTATTTATTATTTTTATTATTTATTAATATTTTTTATTATTGTCACCCTGGTGTTCATCTAAGAGCTCAATAAAAAAGGCCCTCCCGTTGATCATCGATTTGCTCGAGCGGGCCCAGTAACGTCTCCATTGGAGACTTTGTTGTTACTGTGTTTGGCATATCGAATACTCTCGGTAGCTTGCCGGGCTCTCCTAGAGGGGCGGAGGAATCGAACTTGGGTCGGCCATGTTGGCCGCTTGTAAGGCGAACGCCCTACCCGCTGTGCTATCGCTCCAGAGCTCAATGGGTAGAACAATTTTTTCCTTCCAGAATAAGTTGGTGCTGTGGATTCTTAGTTATCAGAAACTCATTTGGGGACTTTTAAATGGCAAATATTTATGATATATAAGGAAGTCTGATACATAACCACAGATCTTAGTATTATAAAAGATGCTGGGGCAAAAAGTACATTAACAGGAGGTGCTATAGATAACAAAATGGCATTAGTATCAACATCTCAAAGAATAACATCAAGAGGTGTCAAGCTACTGGCATATACCTATTAACAAGCCCAGGCCCAGGGCTCTGACCTGTACCTGGCTAGAACAGAGACTTCAGATTTAGAAGCAGAAGAAACAGCGAGATTTTTCCATATCAAAAAGTGAATTAGAAGTGGAAAACTAGGTGGGGAATAAATATTTGTCCAGAAATTTTATTTTAAAATAATAACAACCAGACACTTAGGATATAGAACAACCAGGTACTTAGGATATAGAAAGGGCTCTTGATATGGCTCACTTAATGCACATTAAAATTCTAGGACTTAAGTACTATTATTATTTCAAATTATCAGACGAAGAAGTTGAGGGTAAGCACTGCTTAAAGTCACAAAGACCATCAGAGTGCACGATTTCCTTGAGAAAGGCCAGCTCTTAAAAATTTGAGATAAAGCAATATTAAATAATATCACTGCTTGAAAGGAATGTTTTTGTGGGTTTCCAGGAAATAGTCTACATTTATTATCAGCTTCAAAGTGAGAAAGCAAGGATGTTTTCTTAGAAAACATCGTTATCATTTTCAAAATATCAATAAACTAAAAAGGGCAAGCACTCACCTCTGGGAATATCAGTTTGCAAATACTCTCCGCCAAAGTGTGAAGATAAACTCGACTTCGACTGGTCTTCCTTTGAGGAATGTTTCCTCCTGCATTCTTCTCTGTAATATCCCCAGAGCCAGCAGGAGTTAATTCGCAGCTTTCAGAGCTTCCTGCTACATCCTGGGATGACTCTTTGGGACCCTGTCCAGGTGCCAGCAAGGAGAAAGGACACTCCCCAGTAATCTTGAGATCCTTCAGCTTGGTGCAAAACATGGTGTTGCTGGTTTTCCCCCAAAGTAGATATATTCTGATTACCTCTGCTTCTTCTGCAAGTAAAGGTCACTTATCTGGTCACGCGCTGTGGTGCCTGAAGTATTTTGGGGAGACAGAAAAAAAAGAGGAGTGACTTTGACACATCGGAGCAATCAAGAAAGACAGGCCTTTGGAGCCAGATAATCTCATCATCAGGCACCATCCAGATCACAAGGCTTTCTCTCATGGAAGAGATCAACATGATGTCAGGTCATAGCTATACAATGGGATCCAGCACCAGGCTGTTTCACTCAGGGCACCCCAGAGGGGGGTGGGTGAGAGCCCTCCTCACCTTCAAGAGACCCAGCCCCAGCAGCCGAAAACCTTCAGGCCCCAACGGCCACAACACTCAAGGCCATTCCCCACACGCTCGGGCCTAGCCTCACGCACAAGTCAACCTATTCATGGACTATGCGTCCACATTTACAGCCATGCAACGCATCATAAGACACTCCCTACACATTCTCCAAGAATACCACACCACATTTGATGGGGTTTAATAGTAGGCAACTAATCACAGAGGAATATATATATATAATATATATAAGGTAAAGGTAAAGGCCCTCCCGTTGATCGTCGATTTGCTCGAGCGGGCCCAGTAACGTCTCCATTGGAGACTTTGTTGTTACTGTGTCTGGCATATCGAACACTCTCGGTAGCTTGCCGGGCTCTCCATATATGTATATATGAAAGTTCACATCACTCAACATTTAACAACATGTTAGTAATATCCTAAAGAAGGTCTTAATGGCCCCTGTCAAAATAGAACAATCTTCACACTGTTTCCTCTATGGATACTTTTTGTAGTATTTTCAGCAGTTTTTCATAACAAACAACACAAGATATATTATTTCAGTTGTGCTTTGGGACAGGGATTGGGGATTGGGATGGAAACATCCCAAATACAGTGGTGGGAAGGTGTAATGGTGGTGGGACTGGTGATTGAATATTAAATATAATCAATTATTGTGAATTATTTTATAAAATTAATTTTTAAAAAAAGAAAGAAAGACAGGTCAGCAAAGGCAAAGAGCACCAGTGATTTTCAAAGAGAAAAAAAAAATTTGGGTGAAAAGATTCATTTTAAAATGATAGTATATTTGGTCAAAGTAAATACAAAATATATATACATATATATATTTTTTCTGGTTTAAGAACCCAATCCACAGTGCTAAATGCTTACTCATGGCTCTGTGCTCAATCAGGGATCATTCCTTGATTATTCAAGGGACCATCTGCAATGTTGGGGGTTGAACTCGGGTAAGCCCTTTACCTGCTATCTCTCAGGCTGCATGAGAGATACATTTGATACAAATGATATACATTTAATATATTAGTTAATCACACTCTTTTGATATTTTAATGGAACATAGTTCTTCCTAAAAAATATTCTCCAATTACTAATACATTTTCATTTTTATAACTTACAAGTCTATTTGTTTTTATTTCATTTCTCTGACACCACTATGGTTTTATGACTAAAGTCAAGTTCAAATCGTGGTTTTGTTAGTGCTAGTATGACTACATTCTCACTATATCATCCCTTCTGGAAAAGCAGAATAGCACAGACCCAAATCTCCTAAACATACCAAAACAAAATACATACATACCTATAGATATATGCAAACATACATATATGTATACAAAACCCAAATGTTTTCAGACCTAAAACACTTTCAAATGGAAAAATAAATTTTAATTGAAATGATTACTTACTGAAAATATACTAGTTTCAATAAACAGAGAACAAAATGAAAATATCATCAAAACAAAAAGATATTTTCAAGAAGAAAAACCCTACACAATCCCTAAGAACATGCTATTAGCTTTGCAGAGGTCACTGAATCTAAATCTAGATGATACTATAAACCAAGAGCTTTCTCTTCCTGGGTCCAATAAAGCATACACTGGGATGTTTCTGCATATTTTTTCTTGTATGTTTTGATTATTGTTAACATGAATTCCCATGTAATTCACCAAACACCATTAGCTACATGTCACCAGAAATATCTGGTTATAAACTCCAGCTTTTCAACAAGTTCATGATCTGATTAGTTATCTATCAACTATTTCCATTCTTGGAAAATCCAAAACCATGATAACAAGAGGAAAAATAACTCACATTAATTACCCTTGAGAGTCTGCCCGGCACAGAAGAGTACTAGAAACTACGTATATACTTAGTCTCACAGTAACCAGATGGCACAAAAGGTTAGAGGCTCTAAAATTTTGGTCTTCTGGTGATCAGAGAGATAGTACAGTGAGTAGGGCACTGGGCTTGTATGTGAACAACCCATGTTTGATACCCAGCACACCACTTGGTCTTCTGAGCACCAACAAGAAAGAGTAACTGATCCCTAAGCACAGAGCCTTGAGTAAGACCTGAGCACCTCTGTGTGTGGTTCATAATTAGGTCTATGTTCATGTAGAATTCTAGAGTGACAAATGAAGATCCAGCAGGCAGAAGAGTCCATGTTTTCTATTAACAACATCCTCCCAACTTTGGCAAGTTTCATTAAATCACACTTAGTTTTAAAACTAGGATACACTAATCTTTAAAAAATAAGGTTTACATGTTTATATTGAAATGCAAAAAAGAACATAATTATTATTAGCCAGCGGTGTTTGAGTACGGGATAGAGTTGGTATTTCAATCTTTTGAATAGGAGTTCAATTAATTTTTCACTTAGTGCTCTCTCTCTCATTAGGTTTTTATTATGTCATTAGTTTGTGGTAGGTACATTATGTAGATGTATTTATAACAGTAGGTAGTTTGTTCTCTAAACTCTAACAAGAAGCCAAAGTTGAGATGTAGCAGTGTTTAGAGTAAACAATTCCAACCACAGGTTGTCAGGTATGGAGAAAAATGACAAGTTGTCTGATCTCTGTGCCACTTAAGTCATACCTCAAACCTGTGATCAAATGGAAATCATGGTTTCTCATGAAAGTGCAAAAACATCCGATGTATTCATGAGCAGAAAACACCCCTCTTAGAAGAAGAGGGGTGCAATCTGATACAGCAGGAGACTGAAGGGAACCATTTGTGGGGATGATAGAGGCCAACAGTTACTTGGCTTTTAAAAGTCCCCAAACCCTGAGACTCTCACTGATGTGTCTGTGAACTCTCAATTTGACAAATACGTATTTCTCAGTTTTAAATACATCTCAAAATAACTCTCAGTTGAGTGGTGATTAAACCTTTCTACTAAGGGCTAGAGAGCTGATACCTTCAGCTTTGTGGGTCTCCATCAACCACTCAGCTCTGCCACTGCAGCATGTAAGCCACCGTTGCTCAGAGACAAGAGAACAGGTATAGATATGTCCAATCAAAGATTATTTATAAAAACAGGATGTGGATATGGGGGAGCACACCTGGTTTACACTGGGGAATCATTTAAGGTTTACATGTGACTCCGTGATCAATCTTTGTTGGCCCTGAGATGGGGATAACTGATAGTAGTGCGAAGGGAATCATATATAGTGAGAAGGAATGATCCGGATCAGCACTGTGCAAGGCAAGTTCCTTACCCCCATATCATCTCTTCAGCCCTGATTCAAATGTAATTTTGACTTCAAATCTAGAGTTGGATCTTCGCCTCCTCTATCCACTGGGCCTCCAAAATACAGCAGCCTGTGCAGACCCAGTTTTGTACAATTGAAATGTAATGAAGAAGTGCAGGAGATAATAGTAAATAACTCTAAAATTATTAGGTTGCAATATTTTTCAGGAATACGTCCTATCTAAACTGAATACTATTATTTCAGTTATATAAAAATAACTATAATAAGTAGAATAGGATGCTAAAAGAAAAGGAATATCATTAAATATTAGATAGGTTGGGCACTAGAGTGATATCACAAGGGTTAACGCACTTGTGTTGCATGAAGCTCACCCTGGTTCAAAATCTGCCACCACATGTTATCCTCTGAATAATATCAGGAGTAATCCCCAAGCACAGAATTAGGAGTTACTCTTCAGTACCGCTAGGAGTGGCCCCAGAACATAAAAGGAAAATAGATTGGATCTGATGAAAGTATAGAATTGCACCCTACATTTCTGATAATTTTTAGAATCTCAGTATTAGACTTGAGTTTGGCAAAATAAACTTTTCGTCTGTAAGTTTGTAAGACAAAAGTCTCTCAAATCATATTCTTTTATTATCAATGCACTCCAACTCTTGTTCACAAAATTTTTAATTTTTATCTTTATCTTCCCACTTTAGTTTCCCTGAAGCATGATACAAGTGATTGGTCAAACTTTCTTCTTCTGTATTACATAGTATAATTTCACAAAATGTGTCTAATGTGCCAGGGCCAGAGAGATAGCTCCATGGGACTGAGTGTGTCCTTCACATATGGGTGCCTGGATGCTATGCTCTATACCTCAAAAAATCCCTAATACAACTGTTCACAGGGCACCATAGAGGATGGGCCCAAGAGTAACCCCCAAGCACTGTCAGGTATAGCATACACACTCCCCAAATGTGCCAGTATGTCTTATATTAGAGGAAAATCAGCAACAGAAAACAAGTCATGCTTACTTTTGAAGATCATTTAAGTGGTTTGTCTCATTGATTCATATATATATATATATATATATCCATATATACACACATATATGTATATATTAGATAATTAGCATTCTTCATCTGTTCAACTGATGAAATTGCATTATGAAACAGATGCACTCAGGCCTAATACCTTGGAAACCTATGTTTGCTTTGCAGTTGCCTGCCAGAAATACAGGACATATTTTTCAACCACTTTCATGTTGACTATTCTGTATAATACTAATGTAATTTCAGAAGCAGTTCGACCAGCTGGTCTCCCCAGTTCATAGCTAGTCTTAGAAATGTCAGTACCTGGTACAGGAAAATCCCCTTCAAGAATCTAGACATCCGAAAACTGACTTCAATATTCTCTCACAAACTGCAATCTGTAAACTGTGTCTTCGGCAATCTTTAAAAAGAATTGAAGGTACTTATCTCATTTTTTTCTGACTAAAATGGTACTGGTAACCCTCCCAAGCAAAGAGATCAACTTTATAAGCACTAG